TTTTTGTTTATTTTGGCAAACAAACCCAATATGTGTGAGATAAATTGGTCGTTTAAGGTAATAGACACGGTCAGCTATTTAGTACTTTTATGCAAACAAGCCTAAAGTTGTAAAGGTCAGAGTCTTTATGACGATTATAAAGAACTAGGTTTTCCTAATTCTTTTTTGTAAAAGATGAAGTCAGTGCCTGAGTAGGCACTGAAAATTAAAGACATATTGCAAAGTTCTCTTTTAATGCACATTAATTATTAAGCTGCATTTTCACAATAGAGTATATTTTAAATATTGTTTGAATAGGCTGTTCTTTTATTCCTGGATGAACATTTCTTAGCCCAGATCCTCATGATAGCAAAAATATGCTGCTAAATATTTAGAACTTGACACAAGTAACTATTTAAATGAATAATTTCCATTATATGACTCAATCACACCTTTTGAAGCTAATTGTGTAGAACATTGGAAAGGATTCATTCCCAGGAGATTTGGAGAAGAGCTGGAAAAAAAAAACCCAGTGCTATATTAGTTAAAGCACCAATCTCTAGAAATGGAATGGGACCTTCAGGCTCTCGTCCTTAGCTGAGCTTCCTTCGCCTCCAACCTCAGCCCATTTCCAGCCAGCTTTCGTCCTCCACTGGCCCTCCTCCAACCATTCTCCCTGGACAATGGGCCTCCAGCCCTCTGTCCCATGCCTTTCAGCCTGGCCCATTCATACCACTTGTCCTGGGCCTTTGGCCTCACAGGACAATTAGCCACTACCCAATCGGGTGGCAGGCAGAAGCCATGGTGCTGTGGAGGCAGTGTGACTGCCGATAGCAGGGGCTGTGGGGCTATGGAGTCCACTAGGGCACCAGGCTTCTGGCATGGGAGCGCAGCAGAAGAATGACAGTGGTACAAGACTTCTGGTGTGTGGGGGGGGGGACATGGTAGGCCAACTGCCCATTCAGGCAAGCAGGGTGAGGTGGGGAGTGGTGTGAGGCAGCAAGCCGGCAATGGGCAGAGGCAATGAAGGGAAGAGTAGGAAAAAAAGCCACTGCTCCATAGTTATTTTTTAAGCCATCGGAGGCTATGGGCAGAGAGGACAACAGGCAGGCAGTGGTGGGCGGCGGGGGGGGGGGGGCTTTCCATTTTGACCTTTCCTCTTAGTTTTTCCTTCTGACGCGGGGGGGGGGATCATTTTTTTTCTCCCCGATGTCACAGCCTGCTTCTGTTCTGCATCACCCTTCTTGCAGCCTTTTGTGGTGATTTTTTTTCTTTTTTTCAGTTTCTTTTATTTTCTTTTTGAACAAAGCCTACATGTCAAGATCCTGCTGCCAAGGTCCCACCCAGCACCCGAGATCCCTGCTGCCTTCCTTCCTTCCTTCCCAAGATTTACCCAGTGGAGCTCCCGCATTGTAGGGGTCCAACAGGGGACCAAAGACCTGACAGGCTTTAGGAGGAAGGGGCACAGACCAGACTGGCGTGAACGGAGAGGAAAGGGGGAAAGTGTCTGGGAGAGGTGAGATGAGTCCATTCTCCGACAGTGTCAGACCTGGAAATCATTTTTTACTTACTTTACTGCCACATTTTCTACTGTGGGAAAATGGGAGGGGAGATTATATGGAGTATGGGAAATATATAGTCAAAATAACATTCTTTTCTCAGAGAGTGAAGGACACCTTACCCTGCAGCTGCAATGAGGTGACTGGGATCTCCAGTTTTGGACCGTGCCTGATTGGACTATGTGATGGACATGTGAGTGCTGGGCAGGGACTTGAACTTTCACTTGGTTGGGGAGAACCTGGAAACTTTCAGATTTGGATTTTCCCAGATATGACATCTCTAATAAAATGGAACTTTGAGGAAACTCAAGCCTCAAAGTCTTCTTTCATTGGGGGTGTTATTTGGAACGCTGACAGACAGGGTGGAAGGATCAAAATGGGAAACCCTCCCCCCCCCCATCCACTGCTGCCAGTCTATTATCCGCTATGCCTGGAGCCTCTGACAGCTTTAAAAAAATGCAGAGCAGCTTCCTTTTTTTTTTCTACGCTCCTCTTCATTGTCTCTGCTCATGGACTCCGGTCTGCCACCGCTACTCCCCATCTCATCTTGCCTTACACCAAATTGGTTGTTGGCTCTCCCCCCCCCCCCAAGGCCCCACATCTCATCTTGCCTGACACCAAATAAGCAGTTGGCTTGCCACTCTATGCGCTCCTGCACTTCAGCCTGCCTGGCTGATTCTAAACAGGCAGTTGGTCTACCATACTGCCCCCCCTCCATCAGAAGCCTCGCACCATTATTCTCCTTCATACCCCACAAGCTCTCACCATAGCACCCCCACCCATAGCCCCTGCGATTGGCACAATATCATGGGTTCCTCCTGCCAGCCAATTGGGTGGCAGCTAATTGTCCCTTGTATCAGCAAATGGGCCGGGCCGAAGGGCGTGGGGCAGAGGCCCATTGGCCAGGCAGAATGGCTGGGGAAGGGCCAGCGGAGGAAAGCTGCCTGTAAATTGGCTGAGGCGGGAGGCAAAGGAGGCGCGGCTAAGAATGGAAGCATGAAGACCCTAGAATCCTCTGGAATAGCCTCCCTTTATCTTGTTGGGGAGTCAGATGGTGTCGTTTCCTGATATTTAGGATTAAAATTGAGGTATTCAGAAGATTTTTGAATATTAAAAAGGTCTTTTTAATTCCCCATTACCAAAATACTATCCAAGACCACACTGTGATGAGAGCATTACCTTGATATATTGCTGAGAGCAAGAATGGAGTAACACTCTCAAAGCTTTGTCCACTGGATTAATTGGTAATGTGGTCAGTAGAATTCCACCTTACTTCTGTTTCTTTAACTCTCAAACTATCAGCTCCACTCACAAACATATCCACTTATCAAATTTTCAAATATGACCACCAACTGTACAAAATATATATTGATTCATAGTACTTCAGTAGCAATAGCACTTAGACTTGTAAATAGCTTCATAATGCTTTACAGCACTCTTGATGTCAACATATTGACCCCAACAATTTGGGTCCTCATTTTACTGACCTTGGAAGGATGAAAGGTGAGTCAACCTTGAGCCGGTTGGGATCAAACTCCAGGTTGTGGGTAGAGTTAGCCTGCAACACTGCATTCTAATCACTATGCCACCATGGCTCCTACTTCAAGCTACACTACACACTTGTTGCCACCATATTTTTAAAAAAAGAAAAGTTAAGGATCTATTGCAGATTATTGTTGTTTTCACTTTAGGCTAGTTTGGTTTTTTTTTAGGGTTTAGCATGTTTTGCAAACACAGATTAATTTGATTCAGGTGATTCTGCAAACGCAGAAAATATTTTAATTCAGTAGTCACATTTTGTACAAATGCAACCAATAATGTGGACTTATCTCAAAGCAAAAATGAATGTTCTATTTCCCATCCTGTCAGATAGGAGCTTACATTATCCTGTCAAATTAGAGCTTACATTATCCTTCACTGCTAGCCATTATTAATGCTCTTAATTCAGCAGGTCCAGAAAGACCGCAATGGATAAAGTGCTATTGCCATTGCTTTACTCAGTGCTTGCAAAAGTCTGAATTCAATGGATGAAATGACAACAAACAGAGCAAATAGCTTTCTCTTGCATCTCTGGAAAACTCCATGGAGCCTATCAGTCTGGATATACAGTGGTGCCTTCCAAATTCCCTTGCCCCATTTGATTTCAGTTTTTTTTTTCTTGTAGGGTCTTGTAATTAAAAGAAATTGAGAAGCTCGCAAAGTTAAGTGTCTCTCTTTTTTTCCAAGAAAAGTTTTGATCCAAATACTTTATACAAGCTTTTTTTTAAAAAAAAAAATTTTTTTAGTTTAAAGAAAAAAAACTTGTATGTACCTTCCTAATCCCCAATTTGAATTCTGGATTAATATAAAAAAATTTTTTTAAAGTATAGCTAATGGCAGCTCACAATCATTCAATTAATAAATGATTTATCCAACACCCTACCCATGTCCAATAGAAAGCCAGATCCTCAAGCTCTTACAGAAGAGCAATCAGTTAGAGCCACTGAATCTAGGAGTACAGTATTCCAGAGGACAGATGTCATGATAAAGAGCAGGGATGTCAAACTCAAGGCTCTTAGATCTGGCTGCTTAGATCTGGCTGCAAGGCCAGCTTGGAAACAGCAAAGGACCAGCCCACAGTGCCTCTGCCAGTGAAAATGGAGCTTAGGGAGTGCACACATGGCCTCCCCGTGCCCTGTTTTAGGCTGCAACGACCTCCTGCAGCCCTGTGCCAGGAAAAATAGAATATGGGGGAGCTCCGTTTTCTCTGGCAGAAGATTGCAGGCCGTCGTGGCCAAAAACAGGGTACGGGGGATCACATGGCACTCCATTTTTCCTGGCAGAGAGCTATCAAAACAAACTAAAAACAAAAAGCGAAATGTTTCAGCTTTTGCATTTGAACATGCAAGGAGGGACTGGAAAGTAGAAAAGAAAAGAGGAAAAACAAAAAGGAAAGATGGGAAGAGAGAAAGGAAAGAAAAATAAGGAAAGATGGGAAGGAAGAAGAAAGGAGAATGAAGAGGGAAGAAAAAAGAAAAGGACGGAAGGAAGGTAGGTAGGTTGGTTAGAGTGAGAGTGAGGGAGGGTCTAAGGGAAGTCCTGCCTTAGCACTTGGCCACATGTGCCCCTGACACCCAAGGTCAAACTCCCATGTCATGCTCACCATGGCCACGCCTACCTCCCCGCCCTCCGAGGTCAAACACAACCATGATGTGGCCCTCAATAAAATCAAGTTTGACACACCTGATATAGCGGACATGACTCCTGGATGTCACCTTCTAATACAGAAGAGCATGTCAGATCTTGTGAGACAGGCAGAAATAATTGAACATATGACACACTTGCAAGTACTTAGCCCTAATGGATCTTATACTGAGCAAGAGATGCTATTATATCTTCTCTAACAACTTTTCCACCTCTAACTCTGTGATTACCCATTAGACAGATACATTTTCTTCATTAATACAAAAAATATGGCAAGTAATAGATGACAATACTTATTTATTATAGAGATACTGTATACAGAAAGGTTTATGCAATACTGCTAGTTGCACTGAAAGGATATGACTCTCTATGGCTTTGTTAGTTACTATTTTAAAAAGTAACAACAAAAACCTGGATAGTATCAGGAAACATCTCGGTCTTTAATTTAAAAAGTTAAGTTGAAATATAAGGAAATTATCATTTCCAACAGTAATTTAATAACTGCGTCCAAAGAGAGTGTAAAACTTTGCAGGGTTCTTGTCACAGACACATCTTGCTCCATTCTGAAGTTCACAAAGTGGTTTAAAGGGGATGCAAAGACTTTTTGCTCCCATGGATGGAGCGCCAGGTTCGAGATCTTGTTCTCTGAAACAGAAAGCAGGGGGTTATACTTGTCAGTTAGAAGTTGTCAGGTATGATCTAGTTAGTGCTTACCTTACAAATGTCTTTAAGTACATCTTTAATTAAAAAAAATACATTCTATTAGCTTTGAAAGATGTGAGACTGCCTCTGAAAACCATCTGCTGGAAGATTTCTGGGCTTCTTTGTGCAGTTTGCTGGCCACTAAGAGAACAGAGTGCTGGACTAGATGGATTAGGGCTCCAATCCAGCAGGGCATCGCTTTTGTTCACCAGCACACACAGCATGTCACCCTTGTTTCATACGAATATATTTTTCATAGGTTAATTCATTACATTAGTCACACATGCAAGTTTTTACAAAAATTACTTTCTGGTTTTCAAACCCTAACACACAAAATAAATTATAACTGAAAAATATACATTCTAAAATCTCTTTCTCTTTTACTCATCGACAAAACACATCCTTCTCTCTTACCTGGCAGTTGTTTTTTTGATCCAATCCTCACATTCTATTTCTCCACAGAAAGGAATCTGCACTATCTGAAATAAGAGAACATGCAAATATTTTAGAGATCATGTAACAAGAGTTACTTTTTAAATTTTATTAAATTGTAATAATATCCATTGCTTTAGTGGCTCTCTATTTAGATTTGTAATACCAAAGAGCTAAAGTAACTCCAGCTATCTTAAAAGAAATCACACTGACTCTACTTGCTTATAAATTGTCTTTGTATATTCATACATAGACAACTGTTAAGATTTATTCAGTGTTTTCTTTAAGTCTCGTAAGACTTTAACATGCACATTTAATGAACGCATAAAAGCACCTCTTATTAGCAAAATCACATAACAAATTAAACCACAGAATTTAGGGGTGGGAATCTAATCTTTATAATAAAAAAACTAAACATTGTAAAAAGACAAATGTGGAGAGCATCCTTATTTTAACAAAATAATGGAGGATAAAAGGCAAAATTCCTGCTTTAATTTCTGGTTCTGTTTTCAAAAATTTGATAGCCATACTATTCTAATAAAATTTAGAAATTTCCAGTGCATTTTCCAGATGCAATAGGGCAACCAAGTTTTATCTTTTCTATTTAACAATGAAAAAAAGTCTTTGCAAATACTTACAATAACTTTTAATAGTCTGATATACATTGTGGTCAGTATATTAGCCCAAAATGTATGTTGCTAAGTGAGACATTTGCTAAAAGAATTTTGCCCCATTTTACAACCTTTCTTGCCATAGTTGTTAAGCAAATCATTACAGTTGCTAAGATAGTGATATGGTTGTTAAGTGAATCTGGCTTTTCCATTTATTTTACTTGTCAGAAGGCTGCAAAAGTTGATCACATGACCTCATGACACTGCAACCATCATAAATATGAATCAGTTGCTGAGCATCTGAATTTTGATCATGTGACCATGGGGACAATGCAACAGTCGTGTGGAAATCAGTCATAAGTCACTTTTTTCAATGTTGTTGTAACTTCAAACTAAATGCATGTTTGTAAGTCGAGATCTATCTGTAATCTCTAATAATTCAGTTGCATTTTGTGACCAGGACTCATTCCAATTAATATAAATCTTGAGGACCCCTGAACTAGTGAATGAAACTATCCATTCTTCCCTGCACTTCTTCAGCACTTCCTCTCAAATCTGTATTATATCTAATGAATTCTAATTGAGATTTCCTTATAAATTGAAAGAATGCATATCTACCTATCTACCTACCTACCTGCATCAAGTATATTCTTTATTTTAAAGGAATAAACATTTTACATGTTTTGCCAAATAGGTAAGTGGTGCCTTATAATAAACCTACTGTAAACCAAGGAGTAAACTTTGCATTCTATAAACCAACAATATTTTATTGCTGCGAAAAGTATTTTATTGCACTACCATATCAGTTTTAATAACCTCTTGCCTTTTGAAATCAGATAGAAATGGATTCTTGACGTAAATACTGTGTCCTATGAACCGAATGCATTAATTATATCATTTTAAATTATTTTACAATTATTCTCATTACAGGGTCTGATCAGACATTCAACTTGCTGGGTTTTTTTTCTGCTGATAATGCAAGACAGCAAGTGCTCCAATGGTGGGGTGACAGCATTTATCTTTACAAATGTTTTGAAAAGAGAGAGGATGAAAGTAGTTGCTATCCCTATGTTATCTTTCTGATAAGTACTTGCCATAGTTCACCTCCATTGCCACTCTGATAGAAGAGAAACATCTCCATATCACTGAGATGTCCTGTATTCCTGAATTAGCAGTCTGGTGAGGAAACTGCTCAACAAGAACTCACTTGAAACGAAACACCTAGAATGGCTAACTGCAGATGCTGTATTAATTAAAGCTAATAGATGAACATGTTTTTAAATGAATAACTAAGCAAAAAATGTCTGCATTGCTAGATTTATATTATTCATTCATCCAGATTTATAATTGAAAGCATTGTCTGCAATTCTTGAGCTAGTTTATGTGGCTCAAATGTTCCTTATTAGAGATGCATAAGGCTTGTTGCCCTACGATTGGAACATTCTGGAAACTCCAGAATGCTTCGTTTTTCTCCAGACCTCCCAAACTTCCTTCTGACATAGTGATGTTCCAGGAGGTGTTTTGTAAAGTAAATCCTCCAACTTGAAGTAATTTTGAGGTGTATTAGACATGGCCATTCCAAGTTCTATTTCAGGACCAAGCCATTCTTAAAACAGATTTGCACCACTCCAGTTTTCACTGTTTAAATAAGCAAGCTGCATTCCACAACAGCATTGTCTGGGAAAAGCTTTGTCGTTTGAGGGAAATGGAGCATTTCAGAATTCTTGTATTCTGTTCCAGGATCAAGAAAGCTTCCAGAATCCTAGCAGTTACATTTTTTTAAAAAAATTCATGAATGCATGTTTTACTGCATTTACTCTTTACTGGGTTTTAAGAATGCATAGGAAGGGACTCAGTGCAATGGCAAATTATTTACCTTTCCAGAATCAAGCTCTTTCTGAAACTCTTCCATGGAATTGGCCACCACCATATGACTCTTAAGATCTTCAGCAGCTCTAAAATAAAGCAAACATTCATTCCAGTTACAGATTGTCTGTGATTTATGACTAGTTACTTATAGAGTGTTCAAAGTTATGATGGCCTCAAAACAGGTGCTTGCATTTATGATCAGTTGTAGCATCCTGCAGTTGTGTAACTGCAATTTGTTTAAAAAAATTGCTGGTGATAAAACAGATTTATTTAATGACCACACAATTCACAACAACCATGTGATTTTGAACTTATTACTGTGTGGTTTGCTTAATGACTGATGTAAAAATGGTCAAATAAAGATCCAGTCACGTGGGTGCTTTGACATGACCATAACAACTTATGACTGCAATTACGCTCCCAATTGTGGCTATAAGTCAAGGATGATCTGTAACAAACCTTTTTATTGTTTTAAACAATCTGATTCAGTACACTTGCATAAGTGTGCTAAATCAAGTTGTTTAAAACATTAAAAAGGTCATATTCAAATTCTCTTCAATATGCATTTAACTTTTTCCACAAATTAAATTCACTTGAGAGTCCCTTATAAAAGTGTAACCAAATCTCATTCAGAAGTACTTAATACAACCAGCATAGATTAAGTTGCTATACTGCTGATTGGGTATTTCTACATATATGTATTATATCTGTCCTAAACAGATTAAAGTGGCTGTCAGTCTTCCAGACTTAAGGTACTGTTATACAAAGCTGTGAACAACTAAGGGCTAAAATTCCTTCAGGGCATGTCTGCTCTCTGGACTTGGACTTGAAGAAGGCTGTTTGTCTGTGACCCAGAGTGCATCCTCACCATGATGGCATTTATCCAACAGTGGGCTCTCCAGCTGTATGGAAAACCAAACAACATTCTACTTCTTATCTGGACTGTGTAAATTTCAGAGGTGGCCTCACTGTTTTCTGCAAGCTAATCTTCTGTTTGGAATTCAGATGCCCTTGTTTAGTTCTTATCTTTCATTTATTACTGTAAGCTTATTTTATATGTATTTGAAATCATGAAATAGGACTGCAGATGGTGTTTATCCTCTCCATTCTATCACACTCACTTTTCCCCATCCTCAAGTCTCACCTGTTATAAAGATTAAGATGGATTTCTTCCAGAATACGGCTGAGTTGGTTCACTGCTTCATTTTCAGAAAAGGTCAACTTTTCTCCTGTGTCCCTTCTAACAGCTACAAACTGATGATTCTTCATATCACGTGGTCCCACTTCAAGCCTGATTGGAACACCCTATAAGTCAAAAAGTCACAAACATTCTTTGGAGTTATGCTGATGACTCTCCATTTTAGTTCTATTAAAATGTAACATTTTACACAAATTGTTCTTCAATTCAACAGCCAATATTAAGGAATCTGTTCCACTAAAGTTAGACTAGGAAGCTTGGTTTATAGCAAAAAAATTACTTTTTCCAAAACAGCACTGAGGTAATAATTCTTGACAGATGGAAATGTTCATCCCTTAGACACTCAGGAATGGATGATTCCTCTCCAAATAGCAGCATGTACTCATAAATAAAGTACAACTTATCAGTTTGTATTGATTTTTACATTTATCTTACATTTTTACATTTATTTTATATATATACTTCCAATACCAAATTATACAGGTGAAAAAGCCTGTAATAAAGAATTAATCAGAAGAGAATAGAATTAAAATATTTACCTTAAGCTCCCAGTGGTTGAATTTCCAGCCAGGTGAATAGTTCTCTCTCAAGTCAGTTCGCACACGGATATTAGCCATGCGCAATCTCTTACAATATTCATTGCATTTTGTCAGTAAAGCTTCTTTCTCTTCTTCCAGAAGGGAATTAGTGATACCACAAGGAATAATCACCACCTGAATAAGGACTCAGTAGTTATAAAGCTGGACAGAAGAAAGCCTCACTGAATGAAACTGTTGTGCAACTGCATGTATAAGTTCCTAAAAAAGCTGCATGACCCTGGAAAATATATGCATCTGCTTCAGGAAGGATGTCCCAGATATACAATTTTATGTTTCCCAAAGATTTGCAAAGTTCCATTAATTAATGTACTACTTGTGAGGATTATAATATACAGCTATGAAATGTGCAGGATGGATTTTTATTTTATAATTTTTAAAGAAGACAATCCAAAAACTTTGGAAAATTACTCAAACTATTTGATTCAAAGGAAAGGGATACAAAAATTAAAATATGTTGCCAATGTTTTACTATGTCATGCTATTTGGCCCATGCATTCTTCCTTTATTAATGATATCTTTCTTTCATAATTTCTACCTTTCTCAAAGAGAAAGCATTGCAAATATATAATTTAGCATTCTTTACTTTCATACTTAGAGTCTAGTACATTACTGAACAACTTTTTCTACTACTAGAACCTTTTAAATGTTTTTTCTCATGCTAATACTTGATTCCAACTTAACTTTGTGCCTGCACATATTTATTAAAGCATATAAAAACAAGTAAACAAACAACAGTGAAGTATTGCAATCACACCAATTTGCTGAGAAAGGCAATAGAACATCAGGATTATTTTTATATAAAATCTAAATCTCTACCTCAGCCCCTTTTTTCTACTTGTCTATTCAAAACCTCAGAATGTAATAGCAACGCAAATAGTTGCATCTACTTGCACTTTACCCTGCAGCCACAGCAACACAAAGATGATGGCACCACACATGGTACGTGGGCTTCTTTGCTCCCTTGTGGTACCAGATAGAACATTGCCCCTGTAGCCCTCTTTGAAAACAGCTTTCCCTAGCTAAATTTAATTGCCAATTGTTGAAGGATTGAACCCAAATATAAGTGAGACTTAATTATGAAAGTTTAAGATTCTCTAAAATTTACAGGACAAGTAACTACAGCTAAAGTAATTGGGACTTCAGAATTAGTCAACTATGGCTTCAATTTAGTTTGTCTACATTGCCCTTTCTACAAAATGCCAAGGAAAAAAGGAAAACGCCATCCTATGTGCATCAAAGAGGTGTTTTTTAAAACTTACCTGAAAACATGCTACTCTAGGTGGCAGCACCAAACCCATGTTATCTCCATGAATCATGGTCATAACACCAATGGTACGGGTTGTAATGCCCCAAGAATTTTGATAAGCAAATTGTTTCTCTCCTGGTACTCTGGGATCTTCAAAGACAATTTCAAACATCTTTGAAAAATTCTGTCCCAAGTGATGAGAAGTTGCTCCCTAAAATACAATACAAGAAAGTAAAAAACTATTTAGTAAACCTCTATGCATGAATATATGGTAAACAACAAATTTGGTACTGTACCTGGATAGCTCTCCCACTTGCAGATATAAATGCCTCAACTGTTGTGGTATAGTCGCCACCTGCAAACTTTTCCTTTTCTGTCTTTCTTCCTTTCACAACAGGAATTGCAAGTAGTTCTTCATATACACGAGCATATAGATCAAGAATCTGCAATACCTAGCAAGCAAAAAAGTTAGAAACTATTTAATTTTCTAAATATATACTATACGGAAAGGATTTTAATATATGATAGTGTCCTATAAGCCAAGAATGCTCAATCAGATACAAACCTACTTGTTCTGATTAAGATTATGACATTAATTGTAGGTTTAAATTGAAGTAATAACTAGAATCACAATGAATAATGCAGATTTTTGAAAATAAATGTTCAGTTATTCTTCAACTTGATAGTTCAATGCCTAAAATAAATATGATTTTTGTTTAACTTTGCATTTGTACTGCTCCTACAAGATTTACATCTTTCATAAAATCGTTTTAAAATATATTGATTTACAAACACCCAGAAGAGCAAGTAGCAAACTATAGAAATCAAATATATTACTATAAACCTCACAGCATATAACAGGAAAATATAATTAGATTCATTACTGCGTTGCATGTATTCTCAAAAGCATAACAACAATAATTTATCAAATCTTTGTTCTCAACCAGGAAGCATGATTACTGCACATGGGGCAAAAATAACATAAGTGACATCATAATGCAAATGCTGCAGACTTGCATCAAACTTTAAGTATGTAATGGTGGCATTTTTGTGAACTGTGCTGTTTCTGCAAATGCACTTATCAGAGAAGCTTCCTGGAGATCGCTGTTTTTTAGGGTGATGATGTTGATGGTAAGTCTGTTGCAGCTGTCCATTCCAACATATTATTAGACATATAACTTCACCCTCATAAACAAACAAGTGTACATGCAAAACTTAAAAATGTTTGTTCTATGTATAAAATAGTAGTGCAATATTTAGGCAAATATTTCGGATTTATCATTTGAAAGTCTTGAAATGTTAAATGTCTACGGAGATTCTCAGGTCATGGTTGTCCCAAAGGTGCTTTTTCAAGAGGCAACTGGACTTTCTTGTTTTTTTTTTAAAGACATTTCACTTCTCATCCAAGAAGATTCGTCAGAGCTGAAGAAGTTTCTTGGATAAGAAGCAAAATGCCTTCAAAGAAAAACAAGTCCAGTTGCCTCTTGAAAAAGCACCTTTGGGACGTTGAAAGGCTAAGCAATGCTTTTTAAAAATTATTTGGCATGTGGTACCTCTTCAGCTGCTTCTTCGTAAGTAGAGAATGCCGTGTGTCCTTCTTGCCACAGGAATTCACGAGTACGCAAAAATGGTTGTGGATGCTTGAACTCCCAGCGCTTCAAGCAATTTAATAAAAACAAAAACAAGTCTTTGTTCAAATCATAATCTTCATCAATACATTCACTTTTAAAGACACTATTGTCTCTGATGATAAGTTATGATTTAAGAAATTTAGGGATCTACAGTTTTACTCACATACTGTGAAAAAACCTATTTAAAAGGGAATGATCTGCATCACTGGAACAATATATTACGTTCATTTATCATTACCTTCAGTCATGTATTAGTTCCCTCCTGTCAGACTAATAGTCTATAATGGTAGTCTTCAACTTACAACAATTCATTTAGTGACCGTTCAAGTCAATGTTTAGTAACTTAATACAACAGCACTTAAAAGTGACTTATGACCATTTTTCACATTTATGACCATTGCAGCATCGCTGTGGACCTGTGATTAAAATTTGTGTGTTTTGTAACTGGTACTTATTGATGACAGATGCACTGTCCCGGGCTTATGTAATCACCACTTGCAATTTTCCCAGCCAGCTTCAGACATGAAGTCAATGGAAAAAGTCAGATTTGTTTAATGACTGAATGACTCACTTAACAATTGAAGTGATTTGCTTAACAGCTGATGCAAAAAGAATTGCCAGATATTTAATGACAGAGGTTACAATTTTTGTGGCTTATGTACTATATATCTGCTGTTCATAATCTGATGCATTATATTTTTGGAACATAATGTCCTCTGCCTATCTTTTCTCATTCTCTTCTCTCATTGACCTGCCCAGGTAACCCTTCCTAAGAATTCGTGGAACAAGATGCTCAACTTGGCTGACTATCAACACAGCCATGTCAGTAAAAGGGCCCAGTTATGGCCAAATAAGCTGTCTATAGGAGACATTGTATCCCTTAAGACAAAAGAGTGTGACCAAATAGGTCAGTTTGGACATATCTGCGATATATAGCTTAACATTGGCATATAAGAAGATAGAATGGGTCTGGATCAATTAGGCCAGTTTTATGCGGGACTGTTCAGGTGAGCCATGTATACCAGCCCGGGTGGTTGGGTTCCAATTAAGTTTTGGGAGGACTCATTCAGGCTCTTTGGGCTGGTAATGGTAGCAAGTCCATGTCTTGGCAAGGCCGGACTATCCAGTTTGTTGGGGAAGGTCAAGCTAGATAGTTTGACTATACTGCTCCAGTGCAACTGGAAAATCAAGATTTTACCACACCGTAATGAGAGACAGGAGCAACAATTACTAGTTAACTAGCAAATAATAATACATATTCTGTAAAAACCTCTACTTACTACAACGTTGCACCACTGATTAAGCTTGATTGGAAGATCTCTGTGCGACTGAATCCATTTTGCATATGCAGGATACATTACTACAAATAAAAAACATAGAAGATAATATTTTTTGAAAGAGTGCAACATAATCTGTTATTTGTTTTGAAATTAAGTTGATTTTCAATGATATCAGTAATAGAGTAAGGGTCTGTTCTCTCAGTGCATGTCATCAAATAAGATCTAGTAGAGGTGCCCTCCTAAGTGTGCTGCATCTGTCATGTGAATTCCAAAAAAGACCTTGCTAATACAACTGCCCCAATTGCAGAATGTCTTTCCTATTTGAATACAGCTGGAGTTAAGGCTTGTAAGTTTAGAGATCAGTTTCATACATCTCTATTTTCTCAGGCATTCCTTTGGTTAAGGTGATGTTGCTGCTCTCCTGATCTGGTTTAGTATTTATTGTTTTAACACCTTATTTAATTTTTTAAGCTGTATATTGTCACCCAGAATTTGTAAAAGTAGGAAAAGGGGCAGTACAATTTTATAATCCAAATATAATTATACTTCTAATAGATTTATATGATTTAAGTGGATTTTATCTCAAATTTACCTCAATTAAAAACCAATCCATATTTTCCATCCCCTTTTCTTGACATGGTATGCTTCTTAGCAACACTCTGATTGCTCCTAGTTTGAATCCATTCTTGTTTCAAAATCCGTTGACACTAGCCTACAATAGCACCACATTAAGGGGAAATCTAATGTTTTTCTAGTTCATTTTACACCATTCATTGTTACCTGTTTCACTAGTAGGACGTACAGCAATTGGTTCTGCCAGCTCTGTTTTGCCAGACTTTGTAACCCAGGCAACCTAAAAACCACAGAATGTTTTGTTTTTTACAAACATTTTGTTTATATACACACATATGTATACACAAAGTATTTTTAAATATATGGGAAGTACAATTTAATTAATGCTGCTATAAAAAAGATATATTGCTTTTATAGTATATTCCTATACTATTGCTTTTATACTGATTAACTGATAAGTTAGATATATAAGTATTGAAACATACATAATTCAATGCCCAGCTCCTCTAAATACACATGGCTACTTTTTGCTGGTCACAAATTTGGGGCTAGTTTTTTGAAATCTTTGCAGCATATTCATAGCAAAGATGAAATTAATATAAAATTTAAATTTACCTCTGGAGCAAAATCTGCAATGTGCGTCTTCTCTTTTTCCAGTGCAGCTTGAGATACAAACATGGGGAAGTAGCAGTTTTCCACTCCAAGTTTTTTTATTTCACTATCAAAAAAGTCCTTGATACCTTCCCATACTGAAAAAGCCCATGGACGGAGGATGTAGCAGCCACTCACGTCGTAGTATTCAATCATCTCTGATTTAGTAATTACCTTCATTTAAAATAAATATGCTTTGGTCATGGATAATGTTGCTGGGTACGCAGAAGAATAAATGTTCAATAAAATAGTGGAATGAAATAAATAAGAAATATTACAGTGAAAAAAGACAGAAGTACCCAGATAGAGGGGCTTCTTCTAAAACAGTCTTCTAATAGAAACTGTCAATATTTTCTGTAAAATGTCAAGTCACATAGTAGTGGAGTATAAATAATGTACATGTAATACATACATTTATTTTGGTTGTGAATACCACTGAATCAGTATTAGAATTAAATGTAGCCCTCTGATTTCAAGAAAATTGTGTGTAGGGTTGAAATAACTTTTATCAGAAATGTACTATCCAAATTCCCTATAAAAAGTATTCCCTATATATAAAAAAAAAAACAACCCTATCCCTGGTAACATCATCCCACCAGGTGTGGCAGATGTGTTGCAAGTACCAGCTACAGATTTTCATTTGTGGGTTACAGGAGACATGTCTTTTCTGCCACCACCTTATGGAACATTCTTTTCCCCCAAATTAGAATAGCTTCATCCCTTTTGATATTTCAGAAGTCCTTCAACACCTGATTATGTAATCAGGGACACAACTCCCAGGGAACTAAAGATATGATGGCACCATTGCTAGATGATCATTCTTATTCCCCTTTTGTTTAGGATTGGTCTATTTGTTTTCATAAATTCCATTTTAACAGGGATTTTATATTTTTATAAAATATATTGCCTCTTTTTAAATTTATTATTTCATTGTATGGCACACAGGGTCGTGTTTTGGGAAATGAGTAGCTATGAATAAACAACTACAATAATTTTGCATTCACTTCCATTTCAATACTGTAGCCCTTCTCATATTGGGTTTTCTTTCAGTTTTTTTCATTTTGAGCAATAATTCACAGAAATTTTCTATTACCAGTACTTCAGTAATGAACTCTGAATCTGATTTATAGATTTAATCATTAAAATATACTGAGAATTTGAGAATGTTGGTATTTTAATAATATAATTTATATAATGCCAATTACTAAGTTGTTGCAAGCAAGCCACTTTGAGGAAAAATATGTCCATTTGAGATATACTTGCCTGAGAATACCATTCAGCTAGATTTTCTTCCTTCTTAGCTTCTAGACCCAATCTGTAGAAAGGAGAGAATAAATGAATACATTTTGGTTAATAATTGCTGAATTAATAAAGCAATAGTTTATTTGTTTTAATATTTTACCACAAAAAATTAAATTGCATATTCAGTACATAATTCAGAAACAAAAAATAAAATTTTAATGTATAGTTTTTATTGCAACAACCATATTAAAAATAGAAAATAAATATTTATTCCTGAGCTTCAGTACTAAGAGTGGATTAAATCATATTATATGTCTATATTTAGATACAACAGTTTATTTTAAAAAGACAAAATATTTTGATATCTCTGGGTTTTGCCAACTTATTTTTCATATACTTGAGATATATAATTTGTTTCTGAAATCTAAATATTCTGAAAATTCTGGATTTGCCATCATAATTTCCAGAAAATGGCTCATTTCTATTGGGAGCGGGGTATCTCTTTGTCAGCTTCCCATAATTTCCTTAAATGTTTCTTAAAATCTTTCAGTTGTAAAGTTCTTTTATGAAGCATTATCACTTCAAGCACAATAATGTCTTTATTACTTTCTCTTCTTTCATGTTTGTTATCAAAGGTGAGATTATATCACATTTTACACATGATCAAGGAAATAGCTGGTACTGAATAAATTTTAAACAGACACAACATACCATATTTTTCCGAGTATAAGACGTACCAAGGTTTTGAAGGGGCAAATTAAAAAAAAAAAGGTTTTGCACTCTGCAAACCTCCCAAAAATAGGCATTTTTTTTTAAAGGCATGAATAGCCTTTAGGCAACTTGCAGAGTTCTCCGGGGGGGGGGGCAAAATTGAGCAAAAAACGGCCCGTTTTTCACTCATTTCTGCCTTCCCCAGCCCCCAGGAGCTCTCTGAAAGCCTTCTACAGGCTCTGCATGGCTATTTTTGGAGAAGGGGCGGGGTTTCGGGAGGCAAAAAATGATGTATTCAGTGTATAAGATGCAACCAGATTTTCAGCCTCTTTTTTGAGGGGAAAAAGGTGTGTCTTAAACTCCGAAAAATACAGTAGTTAAAATTGTTCAATTATAATTGAAGGACAGAAAAAAGTCCCTGCTATATATAGTATGTTATTATGAAAAGCACTACTGCATACATATCATCTTTGTGTGCATGGTAAAATCTTAATTTTTACAGGCTAAAAGAGCCGTTGGAGCTAAATTATATCAAATTTTATAAGTAATATATACGTATGTAAATAACATAAATTGCCTTGACAGCTTTAGAAGCAACATATTAGAAACAGCAATAGCACTTAGACATATACCGTTACACTGTGCTTTTATAGCCCTCTCTAAGCGGTTCACAGAGCCAGCATATTGCCGCCAACAATCTGGGTCCTCATTTTACTCACCTCAGAAGGCTGAGTCAGCCTTGAGCCTGGTGAGATTCGAACTGCCAAATTGCAGGCAGCCAGCAGGCAGCAGAAATAGCCACAGTACTGCATTCTAACTTAATCAAAAAGTTTAAAATTGAAGTCCACAGATATTAAAATTACAAAATAGCTGTAAAATCAAGCTATTCCATGTAATTATTTGAAAATTAGCTCTTCTGTTTATCACAATGTTTGTATTATATCTTATCTTATATCTTAAGATTTTTACCTTGTTTGTTTCTTAGGGCCTTGACCATCTCCTGGTCCATCAGAAGACAGATTGTAATTACTTCCTTGATCTTTCTGCATTCCTTTCTTCTGTCCCTCATTCTGTTTTTGTTGCTTATTTTGCTTTTCAGATTTGTTCTCCTTCTCCTTCTTCTTCTTGTCTTTATCTTCTGCACCAGTTGTAGAAACTGGTTTGTAGTCCACTCCTGTTAACAGCTTGTACTGAGCTTTCAGCTGAAGTAGTTTTTGTACTGCAGTATCAATTTTATCCTTTGGGAAGGCAACATTCCCATAGAATTATAGCCAATAAAAGAGAAACCAAGAAGGCAATTAGTTGCATCAAATATGTAATATATTACTATAATTGATATTGTAAGTATAGAACAAAAGCGTGAATAAAGTGAACTTAAAGAGACATGGATTTTGGGGGGTTCTTATGTAGAAAAGCATCATTAGTTATTGCATCTTAACAAGAGAAACCTGAAACGCTGAGTGAGCAGAAGGAATGAAAATCTTTGCCCATTCTTAAATTCCTACCTCAAGTAAAAATATAAAAGATCTCAATTTTAAAAAATCTTTTTTGCTTACAGAGTTGCAAATAAATTTTTGGTATTCTATAGGCAGGCAGTAAGCATTATTCATTGTTAGAATTGCACCCAACCAGCTATAGAGTAAGATGGATGCAGCTGTCTTGTTACAATGTGTTTTTTTGTTATCCAGACAATAGCAATAGCAATAGCAGTAGACTTATATACCGCTTCATAGGCCTTTCAGGCCTCTCTAAGCGGTTTACAGAGAGTCAGCATATTGCCCCCAACAATCTGGGTCCTCATTTTACCCACCTCGGAAGGATGGAAGGCTGAGTCAACCCTGAGCCGGTGAGATTTGAACCGCTGACCTGCTGATCTAGCAGTAGCCTGCAGTGCTGCATTTAACCACTGCGCCACCTTGGCTCTTCAGACAGGCTCTGAATCCTTTATTTTGCATTTTATGCATTTCATGCATTTTATATGTTGTTATTTCTGTTTAAATTTTGAGGTGCCCAGAATTCATCTGAAGTTGGGCTAGGCTTAAATCTAATGAAATAAAGAAGCAAACCAAACATGCCCAAATGTTTAAGCAGTTTTTCTTGACATTTTAAACAGATGCAGCCAATCAGTGATTATGCAGGTAGCCCTTGACTTACAACTACAACTAAGTCTAAAATTTATGTTGCTAAGCAAGACAGTCATTAAATGAGTTTTGCCCCATTTTATTGGCAGAGTTGTCAAATGAATCACTGTGGTTGTTAAGTGAATTGTTTGATCATTAACAAATCTGGCTTCCTCCAGTGAATTTGCTTGTCGGAAGCCATCTGCAAAGATCACATGACCTCAGGACAGTGCAACTGTCATACTGTAAATGCATGCCAAGCATTTGAATTTTGATCACATGACCCTGGGGATGCTGCAATGGTCTTGAGAAAAATGGTCATGTCACTTTTTCAGTGCCATTATAACTTCAAATGGCCACTAAAAAAAGGTTGTACATTGAGGATTACGAGAGAGGTAAGCTTATACTAATCTAGATAGTATATCTCAACCTTGGCAACATATAGTTGTATGGGCTTTAATTTTAAATTTTTGGATTGAGTTGAAACTTAAAGTTGCCAAGATTGAAAAATCCTCATCTTGATGGTGCTATTCTATTTCAATTTAAGTATGCCTAAAGCTATTTTTATTAGCTTGCCATTTGAAAATTGATGATATATAACCTCCCTCCTTGTGGCCACCAGAGTATCTGCTGTCAATGTAGTTTAATATGCTTTAATATAGTTTAATCTTTTATGTTTTGTATGCAATGTATTCCAATACCTTTTAGAGCATGGAAAGTACAAAATGTCTTAAAAATTAAAAAAAAAATTTTAAAAAGACATTTTTCATTCTGCCCATATTGCTTGCCACAATAAAAATGATACTGTAAACTCCTTAGAAAAATTATCTAGATGTTTTGCTTTATATTGTATTTGATGGCAAACAATGTATGTACATTTGCTGAACAGATAAATCCTAACAAAATACTGAACAAGATCTTGAAAAAAAGGTTAAGATTCTTTTTTTAAAATGTGGCATGTTTCTGAATGATACAGCTAATTTACCACACAGTAAAAATGAACTAGTCAAAGAGTGGAAAAATAATTATTTAAGTTTTGTTCTGTATGTAAGGACCAGCTGTTTTGGTGAGAAGTGATGGTTCCCAGATGAACCTTCAGAGAAAATTGGAACGTTTTTTTTATAAGTTGCCAACATTACTGATTTTGCTAAAGCAATTTGCAAATGTTGTTGAAGTAATTTCAGAATGGTTAGAACATGCAACACTTAATGAGAGAACAACTTATTTTCAAAGAATAGGATGGTAGCAAAGAATAACAATGAATGCAATACTTATTCCAGGATCCCTTCAAGTATATGAAACTGTTAATTAGTAGAATTACCTTTTCTGCCTTCTCCAATTTTAACTTCCGAACCTCTTCTCCTTGGAGAGCAACCTGATTAAAGAGAACTTGTGCTTCTGGAGAGCCAGGACTACTGGTTTCTGTGTTTTTCGGGTGTTTTAAGCCAGATGTCTGAGCTGAAGCTGGCTGTCCTGGTTTATAGTCCTGGCCAGTCTTTTCTTTATATTCTGCTTTTAAGGAAAGGAGCAGTTTGACAGCTTCATCTACTTTATCCTGCGTGAGTATTGTCAAGAAAGAGCAAGTAAGTAGTAGTAAAGTAAGTAGTAGTAAAAACTATTTGCATATTATTTACAATTCTGTTATTATGAAATAAACAATATGTTCTTCGGCATCTTAGTAACATACTGTACTATTTTATGCAAAAGATGTGTTGCACACAAATGAAATGTATTTGTTGAAATAGATTTGCTTTATGCAAATTAAAATCTTGTAAACTATGTCAAAAAAACAACAACCCAGGAATCAAAAGACAGATGGAGCAGAGATGAGGTCTTCTTACTGTGTCAACCACTCCAGCAATGAACATTCCCCATCCCCACCCCCATGGCAAAAACACATTTTAACACTCTTTTAGAAGGTCAAAAGCATGGGAGCAGTTCTCAGCTCTGGTGGTACATTATTTCACAGGGTCAAGGCCACAGCGAAAAAGGCTCTTCTCCTTGACCACACCCCAGCCCAAATTTCTTGGCACACAGGGTCTGTAGCAGGCCTCTTCCAGTGGCATGAGTGGGGCAGGCTAATTCCATTGAGGTGAAACAGTTACTCAAGATACCCTGGACCTATGCCTTATAAGGCTTTAAAAGTAATAACAAATACCTTGAATTGGACCCAGAAGCAAAATGGTAACCAATGCAGCTCAAGAACAGTTATGTTATATGTACCATCTTAGCGGCTCCCAGACCTGTCCTTGCCACTTCATTCTGCACCAGCTGTAGCTTCTGAATACTACAAGGGTAGCCCCATGTAGAGTGCATTGCAGTAATCCAATCAAGAGATGACATGGGCATAGACCCAGGACCTCATGTTCCAGATAAGGTCCCAAATAGCACACAACATGAAATTGCACTAGGCCCTCTCACCACAACTGACACCTGCTCTTTGAGTTTCTAGTTGAAAATCACCAGGTTGTGTCTGGGTTAGTGCAACCCACCCATTTTTCTTTAACTGTTTTTGTTGCTATCAGTTTCTGCACGTCACTTTTTAAAAGGCATATTTTTCTCATGACACTCGAATGTACACAAATTGGTGTCCGTACATAAGAAAAATAGAAATTACTGGCTGTCACATTCCTTTAAATATCTAATACAAAGTTAAGCTAGAAAGCTAATGCATTAGGATTAAATGCCTACAATAACTTCTTAAAGTGGAAGATGTAAAGGAAATAGCTTTACTCTTTCACAATGATGTTGAAATAATAAATTTTGAAGCAGTGTCAAACATATATAGGTTTAAGTTAAATGTTTATGAAATATAAGTAAAGACAGAGACAGAGAGAGAGAAGGAAGAAAGGGGAGAGGGGCAGAGAGAGGGAATATTTATCATTATTCTACCTTGGAAACCTTTTCTGCTTTGAGTCTCCGCACTACCTCGCCTTGTTCAGCTACTTTACTATACAGAGCTTTTTCATCTATTTGGCTAGAAGATGTCAAACCATTCATAGTTAAAGAAGTAGAATCAGAAGCATAAGACAAGGAGGAAGGAGGAAGAGGAGCTGCAGGTGGATGTCCAGGCTTATAATCTTGACCTGTCTTTTGTTTATATTCTGCCTTTAGAGTAAGAAGCACTTTTACTGCAGCAGCTATATGATCCTGAAGCAGGGAGACAATATATCACATCAGTAAATGCAGAAATATTTTCATTTTATAAATTAGGTGCATATAAATGCTTCTTAAATTAAAACTTTCTAGAACCAGTCTTTCTCTGCAATTGACATAATATGGTTCACGTTGGTCTAAAATATTCTATTTAAACTTTAAATAGAAAAGCAATTAACAAGCTTTGTTCATATCCATTCCCCAGACCAAGTGATTGTTTTAGATTTCTTTTTAGAATGGAAGGCTGATAGATTTGGATATAATTCAACAGGACATTTTTTAAAAATAAGATTGAATAAACAGAATTGATGCCGAGACATATGTTTTTTATAAACTAAGGTGAAGTATGTGAAGTAAAGTAGGTAAAGCAAAGTTCAATCTATTTTTTATTTTTTCAATGTGGACAAAATAACCATCTGTTTTGTATGCAATAACATGCACCCACATAACACTGCAGTAAAAGAAGCTATACTAAAAGTAAAGGAAGGAATGCTTTCTATCACTTAACAATATTTTTTTTTCAAAGATCTAAAAACATTTGCGTTATCCTATTTTACTTCCACTGCTATTATATTTTGTTGAATTATATCTATGAACTTCTTAATTTATGTACTTTACAGTCATGAGTTTTCCCACAAGCATCTACAGGGACAGACGAATTGAACTAGGAAAGACACTGGTGAATTGCTAGTTTTTACTCCTGGCCAGTTTTTCTTTTCATTTTTTGTTTTCAGAGCAGTAAATACTGTGACAGAAGTATCTAGCTGAACTTAAAACCAGAAATAAAAGAACACACTTAAAGGGGATTAAGACAGAAAAGGAGAAACTGATATGGATCTAAAGAGACACATGGCCAAATTTGAAACAATAATGCAACTAAAGAATTTAATTATTTTAAATCATTCACACACATATATAGTTTATAATAAGAAAAATAGGGCTGCCTTCTCATAATTCAGCAGCAAAAAGTGATACACTTCCAAAACCAAGTTAGATATTTGCTCTTCTGTTAATAGAAGATAATAGTTGGATCTTGGGAGAATCCAGAGAACATTTTCTCTCAGAAAAACATATGAAGAGATATGTTATGAAGATTTCAAAGGTTATAATGGAACACATGGCTTTAGACAAAATCAGACAACAATAATTTAAGGTAGCCTAATTGATGTCTTTACTAACCTTGGAAGCTTTTTCTGCTTTAAGTTTTCGGACCACTTCTCCTTGCTCAGCTACATGATCATAAAGAGTTTTGCTGTCTACACTGGCAATGGCGGCAACCTCACATCTGGATGTCTGGATGGGAACTGCTGGAACTGGAGGATTTCCTGGCTTGTAGTCTTGACCAATCTTCTCCTTGTATTCTGCTTTCAGAGCCAAGAGTTGTTTCACAGCAGCATCAATGTCCTCCTTTGCTGCTTTCTTCTGTTTCAAATCACGGACTGCATCACCCTGAGCAGACACTCTCCTGTAAAGAGCTAAGGGATCCTGGGCTGAAGAGGAAACTGAAGTAGAAGAAATATCAGCCCCAAATGAAGAAGGAGGACCTTTCATTGTAGTACCAACCTTTGAAAAGAAAAGAAAATTATGCATTTACAAAAGTGACGAAAAAAACTAACTACAATATGCACCAAAAAATTAACTACAATATGCAGCAATTGTTTGTAATTGTGCCACATTAATGATTACCACATTAATGATTCATGATCAATTTGTGATTGATTATAATCCTGAGATCTTTTTCAAACGTTCTGCTCCCCAAATCATATATTCTGCTTCCTTTACAGGTGCATTTGTTATTTCAATTATGACAAATGCATCTGTCCATATTGAATATCAAAGAGTTTGTAATTATTTTAGATGAACAACATATATCAACTGAATCTACTTACCTCTTTCTTTGCTGTTTCTGACTTGGTCTTTTCCTTTGAGCCAGATGTTGGCATTTCTTTTGTATGCCCATCAGGAATATAAATCAAAATGCATGGAGATTCTTTACAGCTATATGGGCTATAAAGTAAGATTTTTAATTAAATGAATACTAACAATACTAATTGAATAAATAGATGATGAATAAATCAATATGAAAAATTACCAGTTAAACTTCAAATGTTTATAGAAATAAAAGTTGTTGTGAAATTATATATTTGTAAGGAGTTCAGAACAAGAAAGACAGCAGAAAATTGACATGAAGGGTTGTGTGGATCTTGAGTTAAGCTTCAACAATGAATATCAAAATACATTCTTACTATACTTCACCCATCCCTACAGCAGTAAATCCAAGAGAAAAATGTCTTTTATTTGGTGAAAACAAAGACACAGACAGAAGTAGTAGGCATTTTCTTACATTTCCATATAGTGTACATCAAAATTATTTTTGACAGTAATATCAAGCCCATATTAAATCCTTATGAATAGTCAATACTGCAGTTCAAAATATAGTTTTTAAAATAACAATCACTGCTTACTCATATAGAAAATTTTAAATGTGTTATTTGCATATTCCATAAATGGGAGAAAATGTCACTTAAAGTAAGTTACTTGGCTTTCAAATGTTTTTCTTAAACTGTATTATCCCACTTTCCTTTGTTAAATAGAATGTAATGCTCTTCTATATATTTAGGTAAATATAATGCAGAAACATAGACTTGTTATAGATAGCAGATGATTAATTCTACTTCAACAGTCCTGAAAAATATGTCTGTTCCAAATGTCCAAATCTGATACAGTTAAAATCAAGCTGGTTTCTAAATGCTCACCTAATAGGCTCATATGGTTGATCACAAATATAAAAGCCTCTTCTCTGAAGCTGAATGATGTCTCCTTTTTTCAAATCTTTTAGGCAAGGATCACCTAACATCAGTTCTTCTTGCTGTAAAAAAATTAAAAATAAATTGTATAACTTCCTAAGAACTAAATTCTATACATATATGACAAGTACATATTACTGTAGTTGTTCTGAATTACTATAGTTAACATGAAAGTTAACATTTCAGCTGGATATTGAAAACCCTTCATTCTCCAGGAAGCAACTCATAAAAATCCAAATGAAAGACTAAGAAAAAGCAATCATACAATCAATAAATAATTATGGCTAGCCTGATCTTTCCTAATATGTGACTCTTGCCAATAATTAGTGATGACAGGAGTTCCAAGGCTTAGAAGACACCATTTTATGGAAGATGGGCTAGAATGTTGAATTTTAATCAGGAATGTAAAGGATAAAATCTCAAGTCAGCACAGAATTTATTGGGTCAATTTGAATCTAAGCCAGACTTAAGGATGAGTGAGATTTAAAGAGGGAGGAGGATTCATGTATTCCATAGTTTCTTGAATACATGTAGAACAGACTATCATTTTGTGGCACAAATGTAACAGTTGATAATAATATGAAAGTTACTTTGCTATTTCTGTTGATGTACTGTTTGAAGTCTTCCTCCTTGCCTAAGACAGGCTTGGTGATCAAGTGGTCATAATTCACACAAATAGTTGGAGTGAGAGAAGCAGAAGAGGTTTTTGCTAGCCAGGTGATTTTAGTAGTTTTTTTGTAATCCTTATTCTCCAAATTTAATTTAGCATCCATAGATGTGATTTTCCCAGTGACGTTCCTACAAAGAAACAGAGTATTTTGATTATCCATCTGTTTTAAAATTAAATGATGAATCCTTGACCAAGAAATCGGTGCAAATTAACTTAAGTTTCCAAAAATCAGTGAATCTTAAGAAATAGCAGTCAAATTTAATAGCCCCAGTTTATTATTTACATTTAAGAGGATTCCTGTATGAAGAGAAAAAGCTTGTGGTCATGCAAGTCACTACATCCCATTATTTCAACCCTCTTCTCTGCCTCAATATAATTCTCTGCATCACCTACCATATGGTTTCCAACAATTTCATGTACAGTGAAAAGGGTAAAAGGTTTGAAATGGATTATATACTGTAATGATTCTTTACCCACTACACATTTTAAATATTTAAGAAATGGAAATTCCAGTATCAAAACATAAAATCCAATGAAAAACGTACTTGTGTGTTTTGGTGATGATTATGTTGCCCCAGTTAATAAATGTAACCATTTCTCCTTCTGTCAATGTCTCTGCATCTGCTCCGTCAATCAGTACTTTGGGACTATACCATATAGGCTTCAAGCCAACTTCAGCATTCTGTATATTAACAGAAAAGGGTAAAGAGCTGGTTTACGTTGGAAAAAATTACAACACAATAATCTATTCTGGGAGGAAAAAAGGCAAACATTGTATCTCTGTCATTGTGGTACATTGTTTTTCTTCAACCAAGAGGGAACAACTTTTTGGATGATCTAAATCTAGGCATTTTATGGTCCACGGGCCACATCTGGCCCACAGGTGGTCCCCAATCCAACCTGTGGTATCAGTGGCATCAGGGGGCAGGGCATGGGAAGCAGGGCAATGGCACCAGAGGACGGGGCATCAATGTTGAAGGACACGGTGGTGATGCAAAATGAAGTGGCAGCCCTTTAAAATAGTCCCAATTTATCATTTTGCCCTTGGAAAAATTAATTGCCCACCTCTGATCTAACAGGTATCTTAAGGTACACTAGAGGGCTATAGCCCCAAAAATAGGGGAAACTGGAAAAAAATGTGGATGGATTCAAAATCCAAACCATCATCATGTGTAGTTTAATTTAATTTAATCAAATGTTTAATTCCAGTGTTTTTGAAAGTAAATGCTTAATTTAAATGATGTCTAAATACTTTACATAATGAATATATTTAAATGCACAGTAATTTAAATACTTTATAGGACTTTTTCTTTTCTTTTCATGGACTTTTGTCCAGAGTTGAAAACTCCATTCCAAACTCCATCTCATTCTCAGCCGTTGATAGCAGTGCTCAAATCTCAGAGCTAAACAAGGTTATGCCTGGTTAGTACTTAGATGGGGAGGTATCCTGGCTGTAGATTAGGAAAGAAATTGAAAAAGCAACCAGGTAGGAGGGAGTGGCCAACCATTTCTTTTTAAAAAAAAACTGCTAAGAAAACTGCATGGATACAGCAACCAGAATTTGAACTCAGGTTGAAGATATTTACATTTTTAAAACTCTTTTAATTCATCTGCTGGCCTTCTTAATGATGACAGCCTCTTACATACTTGGTAATCTGGTTTTGCTTTCTTTTCATTGTGCAGAAAGCCCTGTCAATTCCAATGATTCAATGTTTTTATTATAGCATTCTTTAAGCAAACCTTTGGATGTTTGGCCACTTCTTTCATCTCTTCTTGAGCTTCAGGAATATTTACGGTGACTATTTCATCCTTTAGCAATGCAGTGAACCGAGGTGCCACTGGATCTATAACCTATATCCCAAGGATAACAATTTAAAAATACATAATTATTCAATTATTCAATTATATTTCAAGCAAAAATCTTTAAAATGAAGAGTTATATGAATGAAAAAAGTACACATATACAACAAGCCATCTAGGAATATTAACTGGTATTCTTTATGTTACTGCACTGTTGGCTGCAATTGAAGCTGCCTGAATTTAAATTATAAAACAAAGCCAAAACAAAATATGCTTGTGTAATTTTCCTGTCCTTTGAGAAAAAATGTTTTAAAATCACTTTTTGGGAGAGAGTTTGTAAGCATATGCATTCCTAACTGGAGGAAACTACAATTAGGCTAAGCATACTGTAATTAGGCTAAATGTGTATGCTAACTGTAAACTTTTTGGGGGGATCTGAGTGATTTTATCACTCAGTAGTTTTTAAAGCAGATATAATCTACATGTATGCATTACATTATCATTTTTTCTGAGACTGAAAAATAGGCAGAATCAGAATATCTGTGGGATGCTCTTCAAACACACAAAAAGATTGTTTTAAAATGCCAAATGGCACACTACAATTTAAAATACTTTTTTATAAATATACAAAAGTCCACAATTTTCTCCTTACCAAATCACTGGCTTTACAGCCATATATTTTCAATAAATGTATTTCAAAAAGCATGCACTCTAGCATGATTATTTAAATACAACAGCTTTAGAGCACTATAATAAGGCAACATTATTTAAAAACACCCTATAGTTCTGCTTCATTGAGAAAATATTTTTCTAACTTACTCAATAGTCAAGCATAGCATCTTCCACCAATATTGTTTATTTTGTTAACACGCTACCAAACCACTTACTTTAAGCATTACCAGCCTTTTCAATAACTTACTATTTTATACAACTGGAGGTTTTAAGGAAGCATGAGAAAACTTTGGTCTTCCAACGTTCTCAGAATATCAACTGCAATCCCCAGAATTACAATAGTTTAAACAATTGTTACATATTACTACTTATAAGGACATGTATTCTTTGAGGGGAAAACTTATATAAAAGAGCACTCATGACTAATAGAAATGTCTACATAGATTCTCAATCATCCACATCATGGTTGTCCCAAATGTGCTTTTTTCAAGAGGTAATTGGATTTCTTGTTTTTCTTTGAAAATGTTTCACTTCTCACCCAAGAAGCTTCTTCAGCTCTGACTGGATTGTGGGGAATGTAAGGATTTATACTCCTTGCAGACAGCTGCTCATTTGCATTCTATCAGAGAGTCATTGAGGCCACTTGGAGGTTTATCTCCACTTCACAAATTCATGGCACAACATAGGGAAAAAACCCATTAGGACAAGATTCAGCAGTCCCTTCTGCATTAAAAAGGGCACTCTTTTGAAGACAGCAAAGTCCACAATTGAACAGAGAGGACCACTGGTTTGAAAGAGAGGTCAAAGAAGCCATCTATGTCATAATTAAACAGCCCTCTCTCAACAGAACAGGAGTGATACAACATCATCTATCTCCTGTCTACAACACAGTCATTTTAGCAGTTCCAAGAAGGCTCAACGCCTCCAAGTGGTCTCAATGACTCTCTAAAAGAACGCAAATGACTAACTGTCTGCAAGGAATATAAATCCTCCCACTGCTCATCATTTAGCTTCTTCAGAGTTGAAGAAGCTTCTTGGATGTCTTCAAAGAAAAACAAGAAAATCCAGTTGTCTCTTAAAAAAAGCACCTTTGCGACATTCTTATAAATATATAAGAGAAGTATCACTTGTGCCTTTGCTGCCTATCATAAATACAAGCAAATTGTTAACATAATAATTACATTACAGGTTTCAGTGTCAGCTCTCTGGCTCTGGATGAGATTTACACACTAGCAACCTTATGTGATTAAAAAGTATGCAATGATACATATAACTTATTTTATCCACATTTTTTTGAAAAACTAAAAATCTTTATTTAGTCCTTGTTTGATCAGATTTTTACTGCATTACAAAAGAGGGATTCTGCTCTGCTCTACTCATTAAATTTTGCCAATGTTTCTATTGATAATTTTTCTTTCTTGAGAGCCAACAGTATCTTATAGGAAATTTAATACTTTAGCTTTACTCTTGGTCCATGAGAAGTCACTATACATGTCAATGTACAGCTCTAACAAGTGTGCAGTCCAACAGCTTTAGCTAAAAATTATGTTTTGTAAATGTATTATACAACTAATGCAGCAACAGAAAGAACCAATTGATAATCCCTCATATAAATGAAGAGAACAAAGTAAAAGAACTATAGGACACTACAAAGCACATGCCAGGCAAGCAAATACTGAAATCTGAGGAAAAATGAAACCTATTTGAAAGCAAAGTTCCAGATGCAAGTTAAAAAAATAGGAGCAGCCATAGAATTGTAGAGAGACACCAACAGTTCGCCTTATTATAGTGTCCAAGCAGTTGCTGCCAAAAAGTAACTAATCATGTGAAGATGCAGTATTCCTTCTTTAATCTTTCAACTGAAGAACAATGAAAGAACTTCACTGATAATCTTACAAAGGAAATATTATAGCCTTCTGCAGAGAGGCAACTTAGAAAGTTCTTAAACTCTCTTCTCTTTTGAGAAATCAAGTTTTTCTCTTTAGCATAGGAATAATGCATTTTTATGGAAATATATATAGCTCTTGTTATGTAAGCAAATGTGATTGTATATGAGAAACCACATATGCTTATGCTATGTACGCTTACTGTAAGCTATATGCTAAGGCAGAAAAAGCATTAAGTAATACCTTCTTACAGATAGCTCGCAGCTTGATGGCAGAAAAATGAAATGCAGAATTTCATATCAGATTTACAAAATTAGCAAAATACGATTACCTTCTCAAAAAAACAGTTCAATAGATTTGGCAAAGTAAGTAAGATTAATTTAAGCCTTGTTAACGAGAAAGACATTCCATTTTCCTGAAAAAGAGGCTGATGAAGCAATAAACTACATTCACTAGTCTTCAAAGTGCACTCAGATAATTCTGGATTTCTTATCCACATTAGAGCAGGTTTCCACCTGAAAGCTCATCAAATTAAAATAAAGACAAATGTACCTTTTTGTTAAATGACCAAATTTTATCCCATTCCATGTTTACAACTGATCTTGAAGACCCCTGTAAAATATAAAGGAAAAAAAATGCATCATCTGAATAAATAATAATTACAGACATTTAATACACAATGATAAATGGTGGAAATGGTATAAAGCCAAACGTGGTTCTATTGCTAATTGGCCAATTATCTTATGTATATTTAATTTAATTACATATATTTAATCAATCAACGCAAAGGCAGAAATCCTGTATCCATCAAGTAGCAAGAAGGAAGTAACTTGTAACTTTACTTAAGTACTTTAACTTAAGTCATATTAATTGTAACCATTTTCCTGTGTCTTTATGTTTTTGTGTATAAACTATATTTTTGTAACACGACAGCAATATCCTTTAAGAATATAGCAATATTAATTGGTTATTTTGAAAAGATAAATCAATTAGAGGAAATCTTTTAATAATTAATATTTTAAAATATTTTAATGTTTTCTAACACAGCTTCTTTAACAAAGTGTGCTTTATTAAACTTCCAATACTTTAGAATATTATTTGAAGTTTTCGCCCATTTTCTTCAAATCTTGTCCCAAAAGAGACAGGTGATCTCTCAAAAGAAATTTGGGTAAGGTGCATAGACTGCAGGAAATTCTGCAAGTCAAAGATGAGCAATGGATTCCACTGTAATTTTACAAAGATACTGTAGCAATCACTTTCTACATAATTTGAAAATAAAGACTCTTACCTGTGCAGCTATAAACTGTTTCAATCCTTCTACTGTCATACCTCTTCTAAGGACACCACGAACTGTTGGAAATCTTGGATCATCCCTTAAAGAAAGCAATCAATACTTAATGGGATGGCTTTAAAAATACGCTTGTTAATTCAAAACACAAGGTTAGTTCTCCCATCCATTTTACACAGCCTTATCTTAGATTGCATGAATTCCAATTTTTAATATTGGCTAATTCTTAGCATTTGTTTAATTTGTGTCCCTCAGATTTTGCACCATTTTTGTTGTATATTTGCTCAATCTTATCTATATCTATATCTAGTCAGTCAGTCAGTCAGTCAGTCAGTCAGTCAGTCAGTCAGTCAGTCAGTCAGTCTGTCTGTCTGTCTGTCTATCTATCTATCTATCTATCTATCTATCTATCTATCTGTCTATGAGGTCTCAGAACTGTATTCCAAATTTTGTGTGTGTTTGTGTGTGTGTTGTGTATAATTATATATAATTAGGTCCTCCTTTTTCCTGCTGGTGATGCATCCCAGAATTTTGTTTGACTCCACAGCTGCCTCAACACACTGCTTGCCATTTTGCAGTTATCCATGAGCACACCTAAATCTTTTTCTTCTGTTGTTCTAACATTGTATCAAGAGTACTGTGCACCCAATACTGTACCATGCCAGATGCATTTATTAGGCAAGTTACCACAAATTACCACAATTTAGGAGCATTAGGGAAGAAACTGAAAGTCACATTAGTGGCTGCAGAATTTTATATACGCTCACAGTACACCTAGAAACTTAAAATCATCCTTTCCACACTGACAAATTATTTTTCATATTGACCAAATTAATATGATGCAAACTTTTGAATGCTTAATGAACCTCAAAGGAAAGGGGAGGCGCAGAAGCAGAGAGGCATCTGAAGGTCTCATGAAGCCCATGGACTAGTAATAACAACATTAAAAAAAACATAAAAGCCAATATTTTGGAATACTTATAAAAGCAAAATGTCTAAAAATAATTTATTTCTTCTGTTAACAGCAAACACATAAATGTGATAATGTGTAAGGGTCACATTTAATTTAAAAAGTTTTTGTAATTGGAGGTTTTATTTATTAATAACATATAAATTACAGTATGAATATAGGAATGAAATAATCTAGTACACATTTTAGAAGCATCCAGACATCAGCAAGCTAGGCAACTTCACTTACCAGCCATCTACCAGCCCTTCATTGACAAACCAAGTGAGCTTTCTTTTAGAAAGCACAGTATTGTTGAGGTTTAAACGACTGTACTCCCAGATATAGGGCTTTCTTATTCCCAAGGCTTCAATGAGCCAGTAGAATTGCTCATCTCTATCATGGTATTCTGTTGTTCTTAATGCATGAGTAACACCTTCTAAACTGTCCACTATAGGACAGGCAAAGTCATATGTGGGGTAAATACTGAAAGTTAAGCAGAAACAGAATTAACCTTCATGCATACTTGACAGATGTCACATCTTATCATTAATACATTTCAAAAGCAATCACTGACGCAACAGTATTTATCAGTCTAATGGTACACGTTAAAAACAAGAAGAATGTTTAAAGCAATTGCAAACTTTACACTGTATTTGAATAGAGCGACAATAAGTATCAGTTATTCCTAAAATATTAAGGAGATTCTGGAGAATCTATTATGAAATCTGGGTAACATGTTATTTCTCAGAACTAGATATATTCTAGAAAGTGGGGAAATAGACAAGTTTTTGATTCATATAAAAACAGGAACTCACACTTAAATATTAGTAAATACAGCAAATTTGGTTTGATGAGAGTATTCCAGAAAGTAAATAAATATCAACAAATAACATTTCTCCAATAAGAGTATGTAGAAGCAGAAGAGCAGTTTTAGGGAGGAATCAATATGGAAGGGAAAGGTGCTTACTCTTTCTCATTTCTTATTACCAAGGCTACCAAATCAAGATTTATCCTCCTGAACATTCATGGGGAGAAGGTTTTACAATATTAGTTCTTAATTTTTTAGTTTAGTTTTTCTCCCCTCTTTTGTAAGAGAGATAATTCATCCTAATAAGCTGAGACAACCAAGATCAACAAAGTAAAACTAAAAACTATTTTTCTTACATTGCTCAACAGTGTACTTGTGAATATCTCAATAAGACCTAAAATAAATATTTATATAATTTCTTGGCTCCTTTCTGCCCATCTTCAAGTCTAGTGGATGAAGCGATTCAGTCCTGTCACTAACCTCTTTAATAGAATAACTGAGTTGGAAGGGACCTTGAAGGTCTTCTAGTCCAATCCCCTGCTTAGACAGGAAACCCTACACCACTTCAGACATATGGATATCTAACATCTTCTTAAAAACATCCAGTGTTGGAGCATTCACAACCTCAGGAGACAAGTTGTTCCACTGATTAATTGTTCTAATTGTCCTTAGATCTCCTTAGTTCTAAGTTGCTTTTCTCATGGAAGCAAATCTTCCTTTAGAGTAACAAACAATTTAAGAACTTAAAATTGCTTGTTGTTTTAAGAATGGATTTTTTCCATACTTAATAATAGACATATATCAATAATATACATAATTCAGTATTAGATTATATCAGCTTATAAAAATCTCTACAAAAATAAAGATCTGGAATGTTAAAATTGTTCCCAAGAAACCAGAAACTAGATTGTAATAATTAAAAAAGAAAGAAAAGTAGAGTAGAAAATCTAAGAAACTGAAAGGAATTCTTCGTCAACACATACTTGTATTTATTTCCAGTACGTGGATGTGGCTGATTTTTACAACGATAAAGAGTTGGGTCTCTCAAGCATCCATTATTACTACTCATATCAATTTTTGCTCTTAGACAGCAGGTTTGTCCATATTCTGTTCCTTTTTTCATTTCCTCCCACATTTGAAAATTCTTCTCAACAGCTATAAGATTACAAATATTTAATTAGGATTAAGTTTGCTCTAATAATATTTACATATGAAAAATAATTTACCTAATTAATAATTTGTTTTGCATCTCAACATTACTTTCAGTTGGTTGGACATTATCCAATCATAAATAAAACCATAAACTGTTATTCATAAATCCCACAGGCTTGATTCACAATCAACCAAAATCAAACAAGTAATATGTTGGCTTATATGAGAAACCTAAGTGCAACAAACATCTTAATAAGGTTATTTTTAATCATTATCTCAAACTCATAAGGCTTATATAACTTATGCTAATAACATAATTATCAAATAGTATATACGTTTCACTCATTCAATTAAAAAAGGATAAAACTTTAATAAAAGGTCTTACAATTACTCCTGTGTTTAGATTCTATTCTCTGTTCTCTTTCCATTTTCATCTGTTCTGCTGGTGTATCATCTACGTAAGCCTTTCCTTCATGAATGAGTTTCTCAGCATATTTCATTATTTTTTCAAAATGATCAGAGGTATATGAAAATTGGTCAGGCTTAATGTTAAGCATTGCAACATCTTCCAAGATCACCTGTATATATGGTTTTTAAAACATTAAATTGGTATTTAAGATCGGTATTTTAAAAATGTTTACTATTATTATCATTGTATTAGAGATGGCAACCTCTCCTACATTGCTACATTTTATCATTTCAAAGAGCTGTAAATGTGTAATTAAAGAAAGAGAATTTTAGGAAATTCACCGACAAAGTCAATTGTGCCCACTTGAAGGACTATCAAAAGTTTCACTTAGTAAATTCACATAAACTATTTGTGGGTTGGATTATTTGTCCTTAGAACTTCAGCATCACCCCAAATTGCTGTAAAGCATTTGGGGAGTCACTGCTGCAAAATCTGAGAATAAGCAAGGAAATATATGAGCAGAACTCCGAACAATACTGCACGTCTGTGCTCTTTGGGCTATCAGGAAGTAGTAGGAAACAAGACACTCTGCATATTATATAGTTGATATTATTAACATAAGTAGGCATTATTAATATACAAACAATGCAGGGGTAGATTCAGCAAAGAGCAAAACTGCTATTAATGGGAGCATTTCACTGGCCGGAATAGCCCATGTCTGGATGATGTCTCCACCTACTGGGAGAACTTTCTTATTCAATTTTCTAACCCACATTAAAGCAACATAAAAGATAAGAGCAGTAAACAGTTTTGGAAGGTAATAATTATTATCCCAATTCACATGAGCCTGTTTTAAAGTACATAACTCTGCAGCCTTCTCAAAACGAAACCTAACCAAGATTCCATGCATACCAGTTACTTTAAAATATCTCAAGAAATAGAGTGTGGTATTTCCTCCCTTTACGCCTGTACACCCCTGAAAAGTGTCATCCAGAACCTGGGAAGGTATCATGAAAAGATGCTCCTTAATCCAACAATAATGAATTGGAAGGCATGGGTTACATAGATTTCAAATAGTAAAAATAGTGACATTTTTTTAAAAAAAGTTGAAATTCATTGGGAAAATAAATTTTCATTACATTCAAATAGATTAGAAATCAACATGGTCCGCATTTATTTTAATAATTGTACTGCCATTTCATTACTGTCAGCAAGTCTGTAAAGGAATTGCATTTAAAGCAATTTATACCCTTTGTAAATATCCTTTACATGGACATGATGGCTCAATGGCTAAGACACTGAGCTTGTCGATCAGAAAGGTCGGCAGTTCGGTGATTTGAATCCCTAGTGCCGTATAATGGAGTAAACTCCCGTTACCTGTCTCAGCTTCTGCCAACCTAGCAGTTTGAAAGCATGTAAAAATAGAAGTAGAAAAATAGGAACCACCTTTGGTGGAAAGATAACAGTTTTCTGTGCACCTTCGACATTTAGTTATGCAGGCCACATGACCACGGAGATGTCTTTGGACAGCGCTGGCTCTTCAGCTTTGAAACGGAGATGAGCACCACCACCACCCGTCGGGAATGACTAGCACATATGTGCGAGGGGAACCTTTATCTTTACCTTTATACCCTTTGAATATGCTCAAAATCTGTACTGACTTATCTTGCTTATTTCAATTCTAAAATAAACCACACATGAATATCTGAATTACCTTTTCAAAATCTTCTTTTTCTTTCTCTGGATTTGTATCATCAAATCTCATGATCAATTTACCCTTGAAGGTGATCTGGTAGTGCTGATTCAACAATGCAGCTTTTGCATGACCAATATGCAAGTAGCTAGAAATAAAGTCATAGAAGAAAACAGCATAATTTAATGATTTCAATAGGAAGGGGAAAAGTAAATATAAAAAAAGAAAGAAAAGAAATGAAGCAACATTTAAAGTCCTACTACAACAGATTCCATACTGTCAATATATTTTATTTAGAATAAAAAACTTGACAATTTAAATTTCAGTCACAATTTCATAATCTCATGAATCAATAGCTAATGCCTTTCTTACATTAATTACCCTATACTACCCCTTACTATCAGTCAACCTTTACAGTACATAATGGCTGAAATTTTCTGAAACAAGTTTAAGTTCATTCAGAATAAGGAGTAAGGATACATAAAGGAGCTCTGAAGTTACTAATAAAATAAGAAATTCCCTATGTCAACATTTAAGTAAATTCACATAAACTGTGGGTTTTTCTTCTTAGAACTTCAGCATCACCCAAAACTGCTGTAAAATTACTATCAATATACACAGATTCTTCTGGTTTTCAACATTCATTTATAATTTGCAATTGTTCACTCCATTTTCATGTCAAGCACAATTACTTCGAACTTTGATAAACATTCAGATTCATACTTATTGTTGCATCATGCAATATATAACGCTCAAAATAATTCAGGTTCTCAGGCAACTACGGCATCTGCATATAAAAGTACATGCACATACCTACTTATATATTTGCCTCTAAATAAACAACTAAACAAGCATTACACAATCTTGCTTATTCCTTGCTTAATAGAGATCCAATCACTAAGTATTCAATTTAAACTATGCCTGCAGAGTGGAGGACAGCAAGGTTGGCAGAAGTGGTAGACCACAAGATAATCAAAAAAGCAGAGAAGGTGGGGGGAAGGGAGATAGGCAGGTGGGGGAACTGAGGAGGAGATGGACTTTACTGAAACTTTGGGTTGGTAGGGACTAAGGCAGAGTAGCTTGAATTAGGATATGTCCTCACTTAACAACCAGTTGATTTGCTTAACAATGACAATGGAATACCAAGATTGCCATCACTAAGCAATGCTGTCACATGATATCAAAATGTATGAACACATTACTTAGCAGCAAACATTCCAATCCCAATTACCATCATAACTGAAGGGCTACCTGTGCTTCTGTTATTTTCAATATTGTGTGGGCTCTCCCTTTACCATCTCCTCCAAACCCCAAATTATGAGTATAATACAGAATGGAATACTGAATCAAACATGCAAACTACATTGCATGTTCTTTTCTAATTCACATATTGTCTGTCACTGGAATTTTAAAATGCAGTTTTATAGAGAACATTTTCATTGTACATGAACAATTTTTAAAAAATGTAATATAAATGGAAAGCAAAACTTCATTTAATTGCATGTTCTTCCATTTTGCCAAAGACATATAGAACTGAGTTGTTATAAAACAATTCACCTTACCCACTTGCTTCAGGAGGAAATCTAACAATGACTTTCCCCATCTCTGAACCTGGTAGATCAACAAATTTTCCAATATCTTGTTTCTTTTCTGTTGTCTTAAAATACAAATACAAAGGAAATTATTCAATTGCAAAGTTTGAACCCAGGAATTAATGAAAATAAATAATGGGTTTACTAATAAACAATTATATGAAAGCACTACTGCTTATTCTGTTTAAAGGTATCATAGATTAAGGTATATTATGTAACAATACTCTGTTTCTGCACCAGATAGAACCACACATTAAAATAACAAATATTGGGGGGGCGGGGGGAACACCGCTAAGTAGTATTAATTTTTATTTTATTAATACAGATCTATGATTCAATTTCATAATTCAAACCAGATATGTATAGGTCCTTCAATTTATTGGACTGTTAGTGATTCAAAAGCATCAGTTTTAGTTGCTTTTAGTTTTAATTCAACATAAAAGGTTTTTAAAAGCTTTATTTTCATTCCTAAGAAGCATGTTCATGCTGTGTATGAATATATATTTGCCTGCATGCCTCTATATGCAAATTGTATTTGTTTCTTTAGGATATAAGTATAAAAATGGCTTATTCAGTATTATCTATCTATATTTTGATGCACTCTGAAACAGGGATCGCTGAACACTTACCATTTTTATTTTTCGAACAGTGTCTCCCACATTCCAATTGGAATCTACAGATTGAAAACTATTTTGTGCTTCAAGAAACTTGTACCAGCGTTTTACATGGACAGGAGCATTATTTTGAGATAACTGCTCCTGCCATATATTGTTGCCTATTGGAAAGATATAGATTTATTACAAACTAGGAAATACCATGTGGCAAGATAATATAACTAACACAACTTACACCAAAGATGACATAATTAATAACTACAATTTAATTATATATAATAATTGGAGAAATAGCTAATGCAAAGAGAGCATTTTAATATCTTATTTTACTTTGTGAAGTATGGAAATAGAATCACTCAGGCCTAAATTTTCCAAGTTATTTAACTACATTTTGTGGGGAAACCAGTCAGCATACTTTTTGATGGAATCATAAGAAACAATGGGGGAAAACTGCCCAAAGAAATGTATTTGAACTTTAAGCTCAATGTGTTTTATCAAGTCTTTTTCATCTGTGAATATAAAGGGGCAGCATTTACAAAGTGAGAGCTGAATTTGTGGAAGAAATACTTCTATATAAAGAACGGGAGTGCCTTCCATGCATAGCTCAAAGACAATAAATTAGGTACAATTATCATATTTTATTGTGGTAAAATGTTGCTTTCATGTCATTTTGTGTTCTACTTGGGCTGTCCTTTTAGATCACTTAAAAATTGGATGTTAAAAGGTGACTGATATTTTAGCAGTCCCACACTTTGTGGCCCTGAAAGTTGTAGAGGCTCCACTCTCTTGTCTCATTTTGTTAGGTAATAAAAAGCTGACTCTTTACCAGGGTATCTAGAGCATTGAGCGCTGTATATCACCTGTCCCAGAAATGCTTAATTATGTTTTAAAGAGATTTCACGACTATCAATGTCCTCATTATTTACATTTGACTTTTCAAATATATTTTACATAAGTAAATCTGACTTTGGAGAAATTTTAGTAAACAAATGTGTTGGAATATGTGTGCCTTACACACACTACACACATGCACTGCAGGGGTGGGTTGCTGCCAGTTTTACTACTGGTCTGCAACACACACACACACCAGATGCACACTGCACACACGTGCACTGTTCAATGTAAATTGTTCTTCGCGCAATTTACATTGAACCGTGCACGCACAGTCACTAAAAATCAAAATAGCGGAGGCCAAGCAGCAGCGAGGGAACCAGTTCGGGGACGTGGCAGGCCTGGGTTGCTGCCGATTCTGTGACCCAGGCCTGAATTCCACTACTGGTTCAGTTAAACCAGGCCAAACCACCTCTGACGCAGTGATATTCAACCCTCAACCTGTATGTACTCTTAAATGTAATAAATAATGAAAACCAGATAAGGAAAAGTTTCTATGGATTTAAATTTCAAAGGTTCTGGTCGTTTGTGCAAATGAACTTCTATATACTTATGATGTTTCAGTACATAAATGAGCTTTTATCAAGATATTAACATGCTGTTATATTAACAGCAGCAAGGATTTTATGCTTTTATGTGCAAAAATGGAAAGATATTTTAATTCCTACAATGGTTGAATGGTTGGAAAAACTGATGGAACTTAATCAAAGAAAAACACACATCCAACTTTGTTTCTGCTTGGAAACCGCTTGTGGAGATTGTTCTTTAAATGAGGGGGGAAATGAAACTTTGACTTTGCTGATAAGTTTCTTGTTACCAAAACAGCTAGTACATATTAAGTATATAAAAGTAAAGAGTTGAGATTGTAATGTTACCATCTTATTCTACTGTGCTAAAAATGCCAAAAAGAGTCAGGAATTGCTGCTTTTTTTTCTTTTTTCCCATGTACTTCATTTTCCTTTTCCTTCCCCACTTTTCCTACTATTTTCATTTTCTTTTGTATTTTACATCTTGATAAGCTTAATTATATATATATTTTTTAAATGATATGACTATGCTACTATATTTACTATGTTCCCTTACCTTTTAATGCCGCCCAAACGCTGAAATCTGCAAGGCTCAAACAGTTGCCTACTAAATAGGTTCTCAGAGAAAGGGAGTTATTGAGCTCTTGGATGGCTAAAGCAAATTCAGTAGGAGCGGACAGTTTTGTGGTGCTGAATTCCATCCAATGGTCAATCTTTGAAAAAGAAGAAAAAATGTGTGCGATAAATTACAAAAAAGATTGAATTATAGCCAATAAAACCTACACATTTCATTAGAAAAAAATAAGTAGTAGAAATAATTAAATAGTTATTCAGATAATGAAATTCTAGAATTTAAAGAGTTATCAGCCTAGAAGGCCGCAAAAGGTGATCACATGACCCTGGGACAGCGCAACCATCATAAATACAAACTGGTTTTCAAGCATCTGAATGTAAATCACGTGACCATGAAGATGCTGCAATGGTGCCAAGTGTGAAAAATTGTCATAAGTTTCTTTTTTCAGTGCTGTTGTAACTTTGAACTGTCACTAAATGAACTGTTATAAGTCAAGGACTATCTTGTTGAGGACTACCTTAGCCCATTGTGTATCTCCAAGAAATTAGAAGATCATTTCTTACCTCAGTATGCTCCAGCAAATTAGATCCATATAATCCTGCAGATGTGGCAATTCTAGCCAGATAACGAACTATAGAATTCACATCAGTGAACGTAACTTGGCTGTTTAAAAAAAATGAACATATATGTGTTTATTCATATTTGAAGTAGAATTGTATAGGAATTCATTATAACATGCAGCCCAGTATCATGTTTCCAGATTAATTCATAGCCGTTCCACCCCATAAATTAAATATTGCAAATACAGTAGAAGCTAATGAAAATGTATCTTTTAAATTTTTCATAAAATAAAAAATTATTTTAAAAAGCTATTGAAAATTGAAGACACCGTCACTTTATTTTCCATGCATAAATGCAACACTTCATAATAAAAGAATTCTCATCATCGGGCAAATATAAACAATGGTTGATTGAACAAAAATAGGTCATATGATTGGTCTTTCATTGAAGTGTAGCACTTTCAATTTTTTCATTTGCCTGATGGTAATAGATTATTGTGAAATTCTACATTTCTGTTTTTTATTTAGAATTATGCAGCACATTTAAAAACCATTTTTATGTAACTAAAATAGTCACACAGAGGAGAATAAAATAAGTAATTATATCTTCCTTGGAGGGACATGGAATACATCACAAAGTATAGAAATGATTTATATCACAAGATTCTGTGCAAACTACATGCATGGATTTTCCACAGCACTTTTCTCTGCCTTTCATCTTCCTGGGATGATAAGGAATTTAAAAGGTTTTATTATCTAGGACTACACTAAGTGAAAAATCACATTCACATTCATTCAAAAAAGGCATTAAATTTTCACTGTTTCATTACCTACAAGTCACAGTTTTCAATGACTCCAATTTCTTTTTTTAAAAAATCAATGCCATTATTTCACAATGGAAAGGATGACAATTTCAATGCAGGAGCAGCATCTATACCTTGGCAGACCTAAGAAAAGCTGAGTTATGTAGAAGAGTTAACTATTCTCTTGAAAAGTTAATCAGTTTCTGACTTAGCAATTAAATCAGAGATCATTCACCTTGTCAGAAGTTGAAATAAGGCATAAAGCACAAGCAATTAAGCAGGGGAGGCAGGGCCTCACCACTGTCATCATGAAAAGAAAAAAAAATTAAAAGGAAAAAGGCTGAGGTAGTTGCTGCCAGAGTCACAGTGGATGACTCTGCTTAGTGCTTAACTGCAGGAGGCGGCGAGAAAACTATGTGCCTCATTTAGACTATCTTTATGATCACTTGAGCAGAGTTAAGCAAGGGTTAAAAGGCGAAAAAATCCTTATGCAAAGGAGGCAAGTGGTTCTCTCGTCTCCTCCTGCAGAGAGCACTTTTTTTAGAGGCTTTTTTTAAAAAATTAAGCAAAGTCATCCATTGGAGGCTCTGTCAGCAGCAGCTTTTGCCTTTTTCTTTTTACATTTTTTACATTTTCATCATGGCAGACAAGCTGCCAACACAGCTGGAAAAGGTA